ATATCTCATCCTACCGTACCCGCAGAATACCGCTTTGAATCGTGCTGTGTAATGTAGCACAATATCACCGCTTCGAGAACACCGCTGTCTAGCGCGGGGGCATGAGAAGGGCGAAAACATGAGTGGAGGGGTGGGACAAGGGCAGGGAAACATGATGGAGTACCTCAAAGTTTGATGCAAAAAAGCATGATCGCACCGGCTCCCCTGGTGCGTTCCAGCCTGGGTTTCAGTTTTGTTTCATGTTAATTATTTAATATTTGCTGACTATTATGTGTCAGTGATTTAGCATGCTTCTTAATTATAGCGGCATGCTTCGCTTCTTTAAAAAGGGGAAGGTGTTGGGAGCAAGTGATCTTGCTCTCCCCTTTCGAGAACGTTCCAGCGCACAACCCGGATCGGGAGCGTAGATCGACTGGAGGAGTTTAGGGAGTGTGCTGACGATGGACAGGATTGTGCGGCCGACAAGGATCGACGTTTCCCCAGCAATAGCTTCGACAGCGGCTCAAGGAACGTGAAGTGTGAGGGTCAAACGGACCGTCCTGACCGTGGTACCCCGGTCAGCACCAACCGAAGAATCACGAATTCGGAGCTCCACAGCTACCAGTTTTGATATTTTCTGTTAGACTAATAAATCGAACTCAACGTATGTTGCAACGGACACAACGGAATGGTTAGCTCGGAAACCGGAAAAGCCAGGAGACTGAAAATTTCAACGAATGCTCCCAGAACTTGCACAATTCAAAACGTCGGGTTCAGCCCTCAGTCATTCGCTGTTCTCGTATGCGGCCCCTCGACATTTTTTGCAGTAGAATGGACAGCTCGGGATACAGAAAAGCTACGAGTCTGAAGTTTTCAGTAATGCTCCTAGTACATGAAATATTTAAAATGCCGAGTTCAGCCCTCAGTCTTTCGTTGTTATCGCCTGCGGCGCTCGATATTTCTTGCAGTTGAATGTTCAGCTCGGCAGCCAGGAAAGCTTGGAGGCCGAAATTTTCAAGGACTGCTCCCAGCACACGTACAACTTAAAATGTCGAGTTCAGCCCTCAGACCTTCTCTGTCATCGTCTGCGGCGCTAGATACTCCTTGTAGTTGAATGGTTAGCTCGGGAGCCAAGAAAGCTTGGAGGCTGAAATTTTCAAGGACTGCCCCCAGCGACGCTTTTTGCAGTTGAGTGTTCAGCTCGGGAGCCAGGAAAGCTTGGAGACTGAAATTTTCGAGGACTGCTC